CTAATTTAGCTGGAATTTGATCTCCATGAAAGCGAAGCGCGGTAGGGCTGCTGAAAAGAAGTTAGTGAGAAGTGGAGGCTTGTCAGCTGCTTGCAGCATTTTTGCATGAGAATGCCTCTCTCTGGTGTGAACGGCGCTATCAAGGCGGTATTTGTGAAGAAGAAGAGCTAGGCTGGTCATCTGGGAAACAAATTTGGGGCAGCTGGGCTGGACTTGCATCCCAGTGACAGCTTGATCATTAGATTTAAAGGTCGACTGCTCGAATGATTGTGACGTTACGGATGAGTCAAACTGGATGGATGGGCAACTGGGATTATAACAATTGGCAGTCAGGCAATTTTCAAAGAAGACGGGGATACGGTGAAAGGATCCGTTCGGACGATTGGATGGAATCATTTAGGTGAAAGGAGCTCGAAGCAGAGAAGAATGGAGAAATCGTCGACTGCATCATAACAAGAAGAAATGCTATAGCAGATTCAAGGAATAGTTTTTGCAAAGAAGAGCTGGTTGTCGTAGTTGCCTACGTGCTGTGAAGTGCACGGGATTTGGGATGTTTGAGACTTTTGCAAATTCATTGCTCTTGGTTTTCGTCCAAGGGTTGTGAGGATCTTACAACGGAACGTGCCTCGTTCCGGAGCAGGTTGAGGGGGAGCAGAGAAAGAGGGCGAGGGAAGAAAAGAGAGGTAAAGCGGTGTATCTGTGTGAGGACTACCGGGGATGATTCCATGTTATCCGCGAAGAATGCCGTACATATTTTTTATTGTAATTTGATTCAGAATTCCAGAAGAAATTCTCACTTTTCATATCCGCTAACATGGCTCAGTCGATTCGGGAATTTTTCGCGAAATTTGTCGACTTTCAACCACTGAACAAAGAAAGATCGGAAAAAGTGTTTGCTGGAATTTGTCGCGGCCATTCTCCGCATCCTGTTGCCGCAAAAGTGGAGAAACAATCCGGAAAGCGAAAGAATTCAAAGAAGGATGAGGTGGGTGATGGGCAGTCGTTGTATCTTTGATGTATGTATAGATCTGACTTTCTTGGTGTATGCGCTAGTGTGATTTTCAGTGACAAGCAAGTATTTCAAGTGTGACAAATAAAAAAGTTCTGATTGAAGACCACTTTAAATAAAGAGGCGAATGA